GTTTTCAGCTTCCCATATAGCAAGAAGCTGCAACCCCAAGCTCAAATGAATGCTTTGAAACACACCAGAATCCCTTTTAATTGGCACGCCCCAACAGAAATCCAACTCTATCATTTAACTAATGATCTTAACTCTTACAAGATTATAAAATACATCGCACACTGATTAATATTAACTTTTATTGAATGACGTGTTTCTTTCAGATTAGGCCACATACATCAGTAAAGAATTTTAAAATGATTTGTAAGTTTAACTCATTAGCAATCGTAAGAATAAAGGAAAACCAACACAAATAAACAAATGGTCACACAGCAAGAAATGCATGCTAGTGAACACTTTTCACTCCTGCTTAACAAAAACCTGAAGAAAACAGCATGCATATCCTTTCAAGAGAACCAGTGTGCCATTTATTCATTGCCTAGAGCCCCTGCAGCTAAGAGGAATAACTAGCTCACTTAAGGTGCTACGTGCAAATAACAAAAACGGAAGACAAATCAAGAATCAACCATGTAAAACTATCATCCAGATTGAACAGGCGGGCTGTTAATGAGGGTGCCAATTAAGTGGATTCCACAGGATACTCAAATTCCAAAGCACAGAATCATTAAAAATTCTTAGTAAAGACCATTATTAATTTCAGTATTATAACGCTAAATTTTAGCAAAAATATACAGCGTAAATTTCAGACTTTTGGGCCTAAAAAAATGCCAAGAAAACTCTTACTTAAAAAATGTTGACATTCACTACGTAAGTGCTCGTAAGATTTTTTGTGGTTTTCTTTTATATTTTTAATGACGGAGGTTCAGATAATTAACAGCTAAATGAAAGTAAAAACATATCCAAAGTCTCCTAGGCTTATAGATGAAACATTGGAATTTAAACGTATGATACTCTACTTGTCCACTTGTGTCTGCAGCCTGCTGGAAATGAGTCGCAAGAGATGTCTCATCTTGGAAAACTTCATTACACTCCAAACACTTTAGACTATGTCTACAGAGTTTCGACGGATCTTCGTCCAGTGGCATAGCTGGAATGACGGGTGTACTTGCTGGGGCCGAGATCACTGTCCCAGTTATGCCAGACTGCATCTTTGTTACAGTGTGCGTGCCAGCTCCCACAGGGCCTTGAAGCATAGACACAGCAGTATTGCTTGAAGGAGACGCTATCATTTGATCTGCTGGGACTGGTTTTAAAATCAGGTGTGAACACTGCATTACAACTCCTTTTTCCTTGTGTCCACGAGCATGGGAAAGAAGACTGCATTTATTGTAGAAAACTAAATTCTTTGTACAATGATTACATGTTACTTCAATTCGCACACTCCTCCTGTCATAATGCTGGGTAAGGCTCTTCTCAAGAGCAAATGAGTCGCCACACTCCAAACACTTGTAACCTCGTGTTGGTAATGTTATCCCAGCGTTGGCAGGGGGACTAAGGTTCGGGATGTAAACTGGTACAGGATTGACACTACTCAGCACCTTATTGAACGCTTCCACTACAGAACTCTGCAGAGATGACACCACCTGGACTCGAGACACTTTTTTAGAAGGCTGCGAGGCTGCTGCAGAAATTATTGCCTGCTTTATTTGTTGCTGAGGTTTCGTTAGCACTTGGCGGAGTTCAGAGGTGGTTTGAGCACCTTGAGGCAGAAGATTAAGATTGGCAAGATGGACTGTCTTTGGCACAAGTTTAGCACTGGCAAGGCTTGATGCTGGCACCACAACAGTTTGCTGTTGTATAGCATTGGCAGCCTTTATAATAGCGCTACTGGCACTCTGCACTGAAGCAGCAGATATTACAGTGGCTTTCACTGTAGTATTGTTAGCAAGCTTCAAATTAATCACTTGCGAACCTGCTGTTTTAACTGCTGAAACAGGGAGAAAGGCAGTAGCCACAGGTTTGATAGTGACTTGTTTTGGTGCAAGTTCTGCAGATGCAACTGCATTGGTGACAACTGTGGACTGGAGAGGAGCTCTAGGAGGAGAGGAAAGAACAGCAGCAGAAGTTGGTGAGGACAGGAGAGATGTCATGGAAGTTACCATAGAAGCAGTCTGCTCCGGCTTTTTACCAGAGTCCAAATCAACTTCTGGCAACACTCTAGTAATGGTTCTCTTGATCTCCCCAGAAGAAGTCTTGATGGTTTTTATGCGGACTTTAGGAATTGCTGGTGTTGACCCTGCAGGCGAAGATGGAGACCCTTTGCTACTGTTCTCACTCGACACACTTCTGGGACTATCAGGTGGTTTGACAGATGGCTTTTTAGCACCATCAATGAGACTCTGAGATTCAGGTGATTTTTCAATAGCCCGGGGACTTTCACTCATGTCTTTTGGTAATGGAGAAGAATCTCCTGAATTAGACTGTAAATCTTTACTGGTATCTGTAGCTGCCTTTTTAGCACTCAGTGCTGCAATAGCAGCAATGCATGAAGAAAGCTTTGCTGATGACTTTGCTTTGGACTGTGAAATGCTGGCAAGATTTGTCTCACCTTTTTCAGTACTCAGTTTTCCATCAAGTACCCTGTTTTCAAGAAGCTTCTCAGAATTGTCTTTTAGCAACTTGTCCTCTGTTTTTCGAGCTTTAAAAGGCTCATAGACATTTAAATTCATGGAGTTTGTCTCTGACTCTCGTTTAGCAACTTTATTTTTATCTATACTACTTGAAACAGGGATTCCAGATTTAATCAAGTTCTCCCCTCCAAGTGCCTTTAGTTTGTCATATTCCTGCTGAGATACAGATCCTGCCAAGACATTTGCTCTGAAATTTGCACGCATCTCCTCTTTATCTGGGGGGTCATCCACCTCAATTTTTTCATCATCATCAAATTCTTCAGCACTTGATATTGGGCTAAACTGGTTGAAAGCCGAATCCTTCAGTGTAGTCTCAGAAGCTGACCCATCATCTTTAAGTGACTTCCCTTCATCTTTACTGTAACTGTCAAGAGCTGATGATGTTAGAAAGCCATTATGCAAGCCATTGCCTGTGGAATGGTGGCCATCCTTGTCCACTCCTTCGGAAGAATCAATAGTACGCACATTTTTCACAATGACGCTCACACCAACGTCAGACGATGATGGAGCATGAGAATCTTCATCTGTATGAGCATTTTGTTTTATGTGGCTTTCATGGTCATCATGTCCAGATTCAATAGCTGCTTTTGGATCAACCATGTCTGGTATGTCAAAGGCTGCGAGAAGGTCATCAAAATCTGGGGTCTTCATATCCCCCATGGTCATGTATTTGATTGTAAGCAAATCTGTAAAATAAACAGAAAATCATCATGTCAGTATTTTAAGCTCCAATACCACAGCCTTACACAAAATAAGTGTATTTCACATATGCCATGCAGAAAGATGTTATTTCACTTCTGAAGGAATCTACTCAGAAATTATACATTACAGAACAGTGTTCCAGTGCAAGTGTACAGTCAAATTATTACACCAAAAGCTATAGTAATCCATCAGCTTCACAGACTGTAACCTAGTCATTTCATTCTAGGCACAAATTTCTCTTCAGTGACTTTCTTCCCGTCCCTTCTCCTACACTCCCTCCTACCCTCTCCCACATACACTGTGATTACTGCAAGATACCTAGATTTTCATGAAAATAACGTGAGGCAGTTGCAATTCCTCCTCAAAGTATACATTTTCCTTGACATTTGCATTATCAACCTGATGAGCTTTCTTGACGATGGTAACAAATGTGTTTCTACTAACAGTTTAAGACTATAAATTAAATTGCGTTATAAGAATTAGGGAATTAAGTATCTCTCAGTGTTCACAATGCCTTTTTTCAGCAATTCTAATGAAGGATCTGCTGTATTTACACGACTCCTGCCAGGTGCCTCACCTACTTTAAAAACCTCCCATAACAGAGATTCTACAACCTCCAATGTAATTTATTATAGTTATTCACAATTTTCACTGTTGTATGTTTCCTGCTGCATAATTGGAATCTTTCTTGAATGAACTACATATGGTTCTGTTCACTTACCCTCCTTGCAACAGCACTTTACCCCAAGACCATTATCTCCCTTCAGACTCCTCCTTTTTTAGGCTAACCAACACCAGATCTTTAGAGTTTTTTTCTCCCCTCACAGATAATATTTTCCAGATCTTGTTCTTTTTGTTTGCCACTGGCCTCTTTGTTGGGGTTTCTTCTTTCAGTTCCCAAACCAAAGAGGTAACTCAAACGCGAAATTTTACAAATGCTGTGTAAAAAGAAAAACTAACTTCGAGTATACTTTTAGATTTAAATCCCACTATGACATCTGATTTTTTCCACAGATGTTTCAGTAACATGCAGTGGTGTGCAGGGGTATCACTTGTAGAGATCTACAAAAATCAGTTACAGAAAGCACAGACAGACATTTTTCCATTCTCTTGCATAAGCATGCACAGGTATGATTTGTACTGTGACAGAGCTGGTTTTAACATACTTTCATTGTTTAGTAATTATCAGGCCCAAGTTAGTATTCCATGTGAGAAGATATTTATTAACCAAGTAAGTGTTAGAAAGTGCCCATTTAGGAAGCATCCTGTCTGTCCTCCTGCCTTCGTATTGGCACACAAGGACTGGAAAACATCCTTACTATATAGCTCAATGTTCTGCCTCCAGTATCAATTAACATAGGCCATCAGACAACCACAGTGTGACTAACTGCAACAGCGTTCTCCAAGGACCTCATATTAGCTCAGCCAAGCAAGAAGCTACATGCCCCATGGCAGAAGGTCTCTTGGAAGCCACTTGCCAATGGAGACACATCCTACAGCTTCAGTAGCTCAGTTCCTCCTCCTCTTAGCTCATTTTCTTGAGCTCTGGAGAGAAACTACTTGTTGACTGTTGAATTCAGCTGTGACAATGCTAACAAAAACTAATCAAAATGCATAGGTGTTTAAATACGTATTTTTATGCACATCATTACCAACACAGGTAGCATTCTAACTCTTCCTCAGAAGGATGCAGTTTATTAAAATGGCATAACACCTTTGCTTGACAAAAACCTGTAAGACTTATGTATTCATCAACAATGGCTACCTGAAAGTCATTATGAACTCAGCATGTGTTCCTCTAGAAAATATGACTATACCACTGCAACCGATGAATTTACTCTCTTAATTAACTCATAATTACTTTACTTAATGGACAATATATAGTAGCCTATCAATGGCAAATGCTCATCATGATGACCACTTAACTTTGTAAAGCATATGGTTATAATCTATACTTATCAGACATAGGATTGTTTCATAATGCTGATAATTCTGGTTTAATTGTGTACTTGTTTAAATAGAAAATTTTAAAATCCATTTATTCAAAACCAAGTTTCTGGCCCTCATGCATTTAAAAATAGTAACTGGGATAAAATGAACATAAAGATTTAAGAAAAGAAACTAGACAAGTAATCAGCACAACTCAACTGTCTCGCAGTATAATCAGAAGCTAACTTATCGCATTCAGCACATGTGGCAGCAGACGCCTTCCTACACGCAAGCAAGATGATTATCACACTTATGCACAGTGCTGCAGACCTAGACTTTAGTCCACCCTCTGCGTGAAGGATGTAAAGATCCTGCAAAAGGGCCACAATTACAAAAGCAGTTATCAAAGAAATACATACACACATAATACCAAAATAATACCAAAATTACAAAGAAAGTTCTTATAAGAATGAAATGGAAAAGATTCCAGAGACGAAAGCATATCAAAGCAACGTAAAACCACACAAAGCCTTACACAGTTTTCCATGACTCGAGATACTAATTGTCTATACTACTTACTATGCACTGATTGTACATCTGTCCATAGGCATCTTTTTACAGTTACTATATACACTCAAAAAGAACTATAAAGTCTTCCTATACTACAACTTCCTCTAATTACATATACCAGAGTTTAATTAACATTTAGCAATAACAATGAATTAAGTAAAGGCCCACTTACGCAGTATTTCATCCAAGTATGTTTAAGAGCAAAACTGCTTAGCAGAGGAGATTTGTCCTTTACTGAGAAACTCGGCTAGGCTAAGTCCAAAACAAGAAAATATCTCAAGAATTCAGAGGTCTGCAGAGTTATGATCATAAATTTATCCACAGATAGCACACACTGCATGAAGCTGCAACTGTCTTTCAAGCATATGCAGAAGGAACAACTCCCATGCTCTACCAGAACATGAGAATGGAATGGTTTCTTCTACATGGTGGACCCAGAATTACCGCTGCCCTTATGAGCAATCTCTCCCATTCTTCAAGCATTTAAAGCAATCTAAGTTAAACAAAAAGGGACAAAAGCCATGGCCAGTCTTGATAAACAAGCAAGCCAAGTTGTAATCTGGCCATTTTATTCATCTCTTCCTCACTATTCTAGTACATCATTTTAAGATTCAGTATATAAACGATGTTTCCATTACAACTGCCAGGACTCCGAAGCCACATTCCTCCATTTTTTTCCTCTGAAAACCTTTCAGCAACTCCCTCCCTTAAGGATAAAACTCCACCTTTTATCCAAGATCAGAATCAACTGACACCTTGGCTACCAGACAAGCTGTTAGTCTATTCCTTCTCTGGGCCAACATGATCCCTGTAAACACTTCAGAACAGGAAATGAGGCAATTTCCTGGTTCCCTAGGAAATCGCGATTTTCCAGGAACTGGAATTTCTTTGAGAACTGCTTTTAAAGTGCTGAAAGCAAAGCTCAGTGTCTCCAAAGGGATACACAAAGGTCTAAAAACCTTGTATCAGAGGGCTGACATTAAGACGATCTTCAGAACCAAACAAAGAAACAGACCGCAAGGTGTAATGGACACCTTCCTCAAAGTAAAAAACAAAAACATATTTAAATAAACAACCTGCAAGACCCCCACCTACTCAAACATCTTTGTGCAAAATAAAAATATTTTTTCATATTTAGTTTCTAAATAGTAGAAACAAAATTCACCTCAAAACAGGATAACGCTAACTTGGAAGTCTGTATCATGAAGAACAATGGATAGATGATAAACACCTCTAATTTTGTGGGTACTCATATAAAGTCAGTTCTTAGATTCACTGACTGTCCAAAGCACCATTTCATTTTCAGATGACGGTCTCCCTTTGTAACACTCCTCTTCCTTCCCATGGACTAGTTCCATTTCCTGCCTCTCCACCTGGCTGTCTGCTGATGTTTACCAGGAAAACGTCAGGAAAAGCCTACCACTTTGTCATAAGATTTGCAATCTTTAGGATGCTTGAATTAGTTAAGAAAAGTTATCAAAGAAAATCAGTGACTTTAATAATTGAAACATTACTTTGCTTACTGATTATTCAACGATAACAGTAAGTAAAAAGGAGAGAGAATTCTGAGTGTGGCCAACAGACAGCTCTACACAGCTAGAGAGCCACGGAGCGGTGAGGTGCAACGTTGCTTCTGGGTTCTGCTTTATTGATGGTGGGTGACAGGACTTCTGGGAAGACACCACCGAGTCTTAAGACAAAGACAGTTCAATGGGTAAAGCAAAAAGCCGCACACAAGCAAAGCAAGCCAAGGAATTCACCACTTCCCACTGGCAGACAGGTGTTGAAAGCAGGGCTCCATCAGGCATAACGGTGACTCGGGAAGACAAGCGCCATCACTCCGAGCATCCCCCCCCTTCCTTCTTTATATGCTGAGCAAGCCATCATATGGTATGGGATACTCCTTTGGTCAGCCAGGGTCATCTGTCCCAGCTGTGTCCCCTCCCAGCTTCTCATGCACCCCTGGCCCACTCACTGGCGGGGCAGTGGGAGAGGCAGAAAAGGCCTTGGCTCTGTGTCAGCACTGCTCAGCAGTAACGAAAACATCCCTGAATTACCCACACTGTTTCCAGCACAAATCCAAACTGTAGCCCTGCAGCAGCTACTATGACAAACACTAACCCTGCCCCAGCCAAAACCAGCACATTCTCTGAAAGAAAGACAAAAGAAATATGCTAATTCAACCACCAAACCTTCTCCAGGAAATGAGAACCACATCTCAAATCACAACTTGGTGTGGTTTGAAATACTCAGCAGGCAAGGATACGCACACAGCCACTTTAACCACAATCAGCAATGTCTATTATAGTCACATAAAACACAGGTTCCTTCTCACTTATCAAAGGCCCAATGATTTGTTATTGTTGCAACACTCAGAGAAATTCCTGCCTTCAGAAATAAAACTTTCCTAACAGACAGCATTTTGAGTTCTTTGGATAAGGGTCTCATTTACCATCCATAGTATCAATAAGGTCATGCCAGT